TATACATATATATATATATATATATATATACATATATATATATATACATATATATATATATATATATATATATATTAATGTTCATAAGTTTGCTAATTATATGGTGGTTGAAAATTGCCATGTAAATTTAAAGTAACGGTTACCCAAAGTTAAATGTTGAAGGAATTAAAATTCATTAAAGATTGCAGACTATTTTATCAAGACAGAGCTATGTTACTTAGCCTTTTTAAAACATATTAAAATGTATAATCCTACTTCTTAAAAGATTTGAAACTGAGAATAGATAGGAACCAGAATCAAAATGAGGAATCCAAACCTGAAAGGAAAACATTAAAATTCAAGCTATGCCCCCACCTTACTTAGAAGAGAAGAGAAGGGAAATTTACATGTTTTTTGAAAGTCATCTATGAGTCTTCCAAGTATGTAAGTATTTAATTGCAGCTTTTATTATGTCGTGATAAACCAACAATAAGTTCTTATAACTGAAGTGGAGAGAAATATCACCTGGATTTGACGTGTTTACAAACAAATCTAAAAAGTGAGATGTGAGAGATAACTGTGCCCCTACATAGTTGGTAAATGTTAAAAAAAAGCACTTCTGTCACGCCTTTCTCTCATCCTTATTCATTAAAGGATTTTTCACAATTGCATAAGTAAAAGTTGCCAGCATATTCTTCCACCTGAGTTGTAGATTCCTGCAGCTCCTCCAGAGATACAGTGGGCACAAGAACTGTTGTACCAGTGTTTTTCCAAGTATTCTTAACATATCTAAAACCTGAAAATATTTTATATTAACCTAGTGTTCATTGGTCTTTACAATACTGTTATTTCAATAAAGCTCTAGGGCCTTCACACAACATCTGTATAATTAAACAAAAAATATATATGACTTTAAAAAGTAATTACTGTAGTAGTAGTGTTTTATATTGTGGGATTAAATTAAAGTGGAATGACTAAGAATGCAATTCACACTTTTGAGAATTCTATTTATTACTTTTGAAAATATATGTCCTTTTATTGTACTTTTATTGTGTTTTGGGCTTTCACAATCATTTTAATTAACATTATTTTCCTGAACTGTCAAAGCTTTTTAATGTGTGCTCATGAAGACATATTTTATTTATTTGTTTATCAGATGTGACATATCCAGTATTTAATTGTTTATGATTTAAAAGGACAAACAACAAGATTTTGACAACTACAAGACAGGAAACCAAAGATGGCTCAAGTTCAGGAAATAGGGGAATTGGGCATACAACCCATTGTTGTGGCAAGGAAATGTATTTTAATCAAGCATAATCATAAATTCAGAAAGAATACATATTTTCTGTCTTGTTAAGATCTCCTTTTTCCATACCTATCCAGCCAAAAAAGCTTCTTGTATTGCATGCTTTGATGCAGCTTCAAAAACTGTATCTATAAATAAAATATAAAATTCTATAAATACAATATGAAATTATCAAGAATAATAAGCCCATGTTTCAAGAAGAAACAACTTACAGAATGAATACATTAAATTAACTCTTCCAATGTAATACAATTCGATAAAACATGTTCAAATCTACCTGTCAGTTCCCTAACCATAGATATGAATGGCTCTATCTATATTACAAACACTAACCTGATGTCTATCGTTCTAAAGGAATTGGTGAAATCTCATTGGTCAGATAAGAAGGTGGGCGGTAGCTCAAGATTTATGAAAACCAATCAGAATAATGGTACGATTGAATGGAGTCATTTTTGGAGGTTTCTCATTGGTTCGCTCTGAGGGCAAAGATAGGGAAAAATTCTCAGTGCTAAATGCAGCAATGCTCTGTTGTTTAGGCTGTTTGTTGGTTAATATTAACAGATCGTCTTTCAGAAACTAAACGACGCAGTAGTTCGGCGGACGCCGGTGGGTAACTTCATGAAAAATTCACGATTTTGTTTGTTGGAAAATAAATCTTATTGAGAATTTAAGGCAATATTACCCTGCTTAGAGATCTAATGCTTTATAATCTCCTGACAGATGACCTTGAATGTGTTTTAAACCGCTGCTGGCAGTCTGAGGTTTCCTGCCCTGCTATGAGTAGACGGACTGGCGGACAGGTTCAGCACTGACAGCAGACATGAGCCGCTTTCTGAACGTCCTCCGGAGCTGGCTGGTGATGGTGTCCGTCATCGCGATGGGAAACACCGTACAGAGTTTCAGGGACCACAGCTTCCTCTCAGAGAAGCTCTACACGGGAACACCAGAGTTTGGTGAGCATCATGTGGTTAAAGGATGCATTCATGCTCAAATATAAACTAGAAAAAATCCCTAAAATTCATTATTCAATATTGAATGAACAAGGAAAGCAGGGGGTAAAATTTTAATATGCTATGTTAAAAATTGATTTCTGGTTAGGATACATTAGAAAACCTTCTTTAGCAGATTATGCGTCAGCTTAGGGATTTATAAAGATCTCAAAAAAATTTGCAATCTGACAAGTGACTGTATCAGTGCAGCTTTCCAATCATCTCATACCAGCTGTGATGCACAGAGCTGGGGGTGACATGGTGTGGGGATCCTGCAACAGCATAAATATTGGTAAGCAGAGACAGCATTCGCTTACGGGCCCACGCAAAGCCGTAACAACGCAACAATAGGCCCATAAGCAACATTATCTGAGTGGGCCCCATATGAAGTTCAACTCCCCCTCCAACCCGAAATGTTCCCCATTAGGGGTGTAAATAATAGTCATTTTGTATCGATCCAACAGCCGACGATCCAATGCATCGAAACGTCCGCAAGAGTACCGATTAATTTTTTATTTTTTTTCTCCCTCCGGTCTATTTTTACAATTTGAGAGAGGTGTAGCGGAGCGTCTGTGGAGGGGGCGGGACATCGCAAGATCATAAAGTGATGATCTTTGCAGATGTAATGGTGCAAAAAATTCCTCTTAAACCCACCTGATACTAAAGCAACTGACCGCACCGGACCATATTTATACCGCAACACATGCCAGATTTCAACATGATGGTGAGTCATTTAAACACGACACCAATAGCAAAGCAGACAGTGGTACCTGCGGTTGTTGCGGTTCGATAAGCATCTCCCTGAAATTAGTTTTTGGAACTTGGGATGTCTGCAACATGTGGTGGTGCGCCGTCACCAATGGTTCCATTCAAGGTGCGCAGTCACTTTTTTTCTGGGTTAGATGTGTGACCATATACTACTTATAGTACTACTCATAGAATTGCATAATTGTATCTTCTTGGTCGATTTATGGAACTGTCGCCGTATCCTGAACCTTTATCACGTTTTGTACTTCATATGGGGCCCACCCAGATAATTTAGCTTACATTGTTGTGTCGTTACGCCATTGGCATCCAGGCTGACCATTCAGAATTCCAGCATGAGTCAGAAGATGCTTTGGGAACATTTCAGACCATCCATAACAAATTTAAAGCTTAACTCTAAATATATGCATCAAAAAATCTTTTAGTCCATCCATCCATCTGATGGATGGATGGATATAAGAAAGTGACCAACCATCTGACAGGTTAAGGGGAGGCGTAGTAAAAAACTGTCCTCAGATGGATGTCAGTGAGATACCTCACAGGAGAGGGTAGAGTCCCCTCCTTTTTCCTCTGCAAGAAAACATCTCTGTACAGATTTTGAAACATTTAATTTTATTGTTTCGCTAAAATATATGTTCCAATTTCTGCAACAACCAGAGGTTGATTAAAACAGCAAATTACAGGTTTATGATCATGTAACCTATCAGAAACAGATCTGAAACTCAGAGTTGTACCTCATATACCTACTGCTTTATCATGCCCCACCCTTCACTCCCCTTTACTTTCAGTAAATGGTCTCCAAGCTCGAACATTTGGTATCTGGACGTTGCTGTCATCGATCATCCGCTGCGCCTGTGCTATCGACATCCAGAACAGAACGTAAGCCTTCCAGTTATGGTTTTAAAAATCTTACATGCTTTTGGCTCACAGTATTATGTTCATCTTGGCTCCTACAGACTCTATCACATCACTTTATGGACGTTCGTTCTGGCACTGGGTCATTTTCTCTCCGAAGCATTCATCTATAAAACTGCACCGCTCACTATTGGAGTCATGGCACCACTTATGGTTGCAAGTAAGCATAGAGTTATAATTCCTTTACAGAACTACTTGTAATATTTTAAATTTTGAAAATATTTAATATATAAGTTACTGATATGGGAAGCATCAAATCTTGTTTTTTTTTCATTTCAGGTTTCTCAATTATAGGAATGCTGATTGGATTCCAGTGTTTTCCAGAGACTCAGGAAGAAGTGGGAGCGCGGCAAAAGAAGCGAAACTAGTTTCCTCCTATTAGCCAAATCCACCACCAGCACACGTACCGACTGTTGTATCCAGAAGGATGAAGCTCATGTTAATTATTTACCAGACTTTGTACTTCACTCTTTACTTAAAAGTATATTTTATTGTTAACAGTGCAGCTTTAAGGTTATTTACAGTTTACTGATTGTGAATTAAAACGGACAATATTATACTGGATTAAGCCACATATATAGTCAGTTTGTATTCAATTTTCTTGTCTATTTTTCCACTTTTCCAGCATCATTAATTTTCTTGAACTTCTGTTCAGATTTACCAAAAAAACCCATCATAACTACACAACGAATAACAGCGTTTCAACAGGTGTTGTAGCTGCATTTTGGTTTTTACTTTGTGCCCTTAAGGTTTTTTTCTGCTCTTAAAAAAAAAGAAAATAAAACTTTTTGATGTTTTATACTCTTGCAATAAAAAAAAGAATGTATTTTTGAAATTGTAAATCTAGAGTAATTTAGACTTATGAAGGAGTAATTGTTTTTTATCTTTTGAAACGCATCACCCATCATAAATTTGAGTTCAAACTGAACTTTTTCCCCCAGTATTCAGTTTAATTTCCTCTGAATCTAAAACCTAAACATGTGGACTTGGTTTTCCTCAGGATTCACAAATACAGAAGCTGATTTGGTTTTTCAAAATATTTACATTGTTCTATTATAGTTCATCCACTTTCAGCGTGCGTCTCTAATGCAGTTTAATGCTTTGTGTTTGCCGGTAACTTTGCATCATTTGTTTTGAAAGGTTCCACTTATCCTTTAAATTACCTTTATGGTTCAATCCTGTGTGCTTTATTCCCACCTGCTCTCGTTTTAATCCATGATTATTTAGGCATTCTTATGTAATCAAATTCACACCTTTTTGTGACCCGTTTGTGTTTAGCAGGAATTTTATATAGTATCGTCACTGTTTGTTTTGGTATGTCCATACCTGTGATCATGAAAATGTTTTTGGTTACTCCTCTCCAAATCCCTGATATTTTTACCATTATGAACCATCCTCTACAAAATAAAATCTTGTATAACTACTACTTTCATTTATTGAACTGTAATCAGATCATGAGATTAATGCAAATTTGAAGATAAAGTGTTGCAACAGCATATATATTTATCACCGTGTGTGAAATGCACAAAAACTCAAAGCTAGTAAACGTTTACAGTGTTACAGTTCTTTGTCCCATGGTGTGTCTAGATGATCCCAACAGCTCTTGAAGTTCAGAGAATTCATTACATGTGGAAAGCAAGAGCAAAAATGTTGAATATTTTTCAACAAAGACTTTGTTAATTATTACTAGAAATCTGTGCTCATTCATGCATCTGTTATCTAAATCAGTAGTCATCCTTTAGTCCTTTGGCCCATAAACCAGCCCTCTCTCATCCATTCAGTTTCTTTATTTTCATCCACTATTATTCGATTAATACAGATCAGCTTAACATTTCTTGATTCATTCATTCATTTACCTCCATCCAATCTGTCAATCCAACTATTCCTCTACATATCAATTCCCCCATCAATCCAGTTAGGTGTAAGGTTATCCACTCATCTTGTCATCCATCCATCAACCCTGTATGTTAATCTAGTCCATCTATTAATCAATTAATCCGTCAATCCATGTACCCACCATTCATTAGTCTGTTCATTAATCAATTTCTTCGTACAATATTTAATAAACACCCCCATCCAATCAATTTCCCCAAACTCTTATGCACAAACTGTATTCTGACTTCTGTAGAAAATCTCCAGTACATTTATAGTGCAGTATTAGATTTATTTCTTACAACAAATGTGTATTAAAACATTAGACATTTTTTTTTCTTCTATAAAAGTATCCAGTGAAAACATTTGAGTGAAAAGTGGTAAATCTTTATATTTTGTGCAACATTCATCTTCAAGATATTCTTAAATGTTGAAGCAGATATTTAAACCTCAACTATTGTCTTTTTTTAAGAAAAGGACAAAATTGTCCTAATGGTGTCTTCTGATGCACAGCATCAGTGTTTCTCTGGAATACAATTCAGGGGATGCTTTAATGGGAAACAGTGACATAATGACAGTATGAAGGACACACTTCTCAGTCATGATCTGCATTAATGATCCGTCTTACAAAACAACTTCTAAACAAGTACCTTCACCAGTGTTAAGACTTCAGTTGCCCACAGTAAAAGTCTAGCGTCAGAAAAATAATTGAATACTATAAATTCATATTAACATTAAATGCATAAAACAAACAATGTTAAAGATCAAAACAGACTGGAGTCAGAAATATAGAAAGGGGTGCAAAAAATTGAGACCCAAGTCTTAACTGTAAACGCCACATTTTTTAAAGTGCATTTCAAAAGATCATACCATTTTCTGTAGGTTGTCAGTACGGTTCAAAAGGTGCAACAGTTTTAGCTTTCATGGTGACCGCCAGCTTGTACTCACTAGTCACACATCAGTTTTCCTTTCCTGTTTGCACATGTGTCCGTTTAACACCATTTTATCTCCTGATGGTCTGCTAGCGAGACATCTTCCCTCCTTACAGCTTCCTCTCCTTCAGGACATCTTCTTGAGGGTCACTTATCTTCTGGAATAAACATGGACAGACAGAAAGCTCTAATGCAGCTTAGCAAAGCCCAAACAGAGTAAAATCTATGAGTGCATTTTGAAAAATACACCAAAATATTACAATTTCTCTATTTAGAGCCTGTGGGTTTCCCAGTTTCATATCTTGAATGTTAGAGCCTTAAAAAAAAATAAAAAAAATAATGATATTAATGGGGTTATCCCCTACCTTGTCAGATGTGTTTAGGTTTTTATGAAGTTGTGAGGTAATGTCATGGCTGCCTCTGCACGCTGTGGCACCGTAGTCCTGTACTGATGTCATAAACTCTGCAGGCTGGGATCATAGCTCCATTTCAAAGATCTGAGGGACCCTGAGGGTCTCCTCTCTTTCATTACCTCCACCACCAGAACCAGAAATGCCTGCACACCTACATACTCTAAGCAAAATGTAATAAGGAGTAAAAATACTCATTCCTTTGGCAGATCACCTTATTTACCTACTCAAATAAAAAAAACTTAATCATTTAAAGACATTTTTACTTATTTATAGATTGTTTTTGCAGAAATTTACCTAGCCTGACTTTTAATAGGTGTGCAGGAGTACTGGTGTTTTTAGTTTAAGCTGTATTTTTAATTGTTAGAAGTAAAGCAAAAAAGAAGAGATTCAAAGATCCAGAAGAGGAGCCATGCTTAAAGCTACAGTGTGTAATTTTCAGCGACATCTAACGTCCAGACTGCAGACCGCAGCAACATGAACATCTCCCCCACACCGCTTCTCCCCCCCCCAACAGTACGGCGAGCGTTACGGGACAAAATGTCTTCCACGACGTCCGCATCACCTACCTTCTCAAGTGATGAGGTTTGTTTACATAGA